TGCTGAGTTGATCTAATACTAAAAATTCAAGTAATCTTTTGAATAGGGCAACCAGTAGAATGCAACCTTATTTAAATGAAGTGAAACTTAGGAAATTCAGTTCCCACATTATGCATGTGGTATTTGAAGGAGTCACATTCCAGTATACCTATTAGATTTTTGAGGAGAGGAATGAAAATATCAATTTCCTTTGACTCCACAGAAAGTTCAATGGGGCAACAGTAGTTTAAATTTATCTTTTATTTCACAGCGTTTTTTTTTTTCACAGAACCATTCTCTCTCTCTCACTGAAAACTTATTAAAACAATAGAAACAAAAATCTTTCCCTTGAAAAAAGTTAATTCTTCTTTTGTCATATTTTTTGTAGTGACAGGATTCAGGGTTTCTTGCAATGCTCAAGAGCTCCTTGGAAATGGCTTTCTACAATTTGAATATGATGTATCTCATGTGTTTTCCTTTGCAATATTTTTCTCCTCAGGACACATAGAGATTCTCAAATATTTTAATATTATCATTTTTATGTAATTTAGGAGGATTGGGGCCATCATATTTTTAAATATTTTTCTGCTAATTCTTCCAGGATTGTGGATATATGCATGATAAACAGCCTTATACCATTCGCTCAGCTGTCTGAAGCTCTCTAGTGCATTTTTCAGGGTTTTCCCTTTTTACTGCACTTTGGATATTCCATATTTTTGCAGCATTAAATTTGTCAGTTCTGCAGTCACTTATCATCTGTAACATATATCCATGCAGTATGTTTCAAATCTTAAAAACAAGAGGTTTTGTCTTTTAAATTTTTATCTGATTCATCTTTAATATTTCTTCTGTAGATAAGTGGTAATATTTTTTAAACTGATGAAACTAAAGGAACTTTGGCTGGATCCCGGAGATAGCCAGTCTCATATGGCTGTTCACTCGACCTGTATTTTTTTTTCTTTCTTTTTTTTTTTTTATTGAGAAAAGGAAAAAAAAAAGTTTCCGCCTCCTCCCAGCCTCCCATTTCCCTCCCCCTCCTCCCACCCTTCTCCCCCTCCCCCCACCTCTTTCCCCCTCCCCCCCCACTCCTCTCTCCCTCCCTCTCCAATCCAAAGAGCAGTCAGGGTTCCCTGCCCTGTGGAAAGTCCAAGGTCCTCCCCCCTCTGTCCATGTCTAGGAAGGTGAACATCCAAACTGGCTAGGCTCCCACCAACCCGGAACATGAAGTAGGATCAAAACCCCATGCCATTGTCCTTGGCTTCTCATCAGTCCTCATTGTTCGCCATGATGAGAGAGTCCGGTTTTATCCCATGCTTTTTCAGTCACAGTCCAGCTGGCCTTGGTGAGCTCCCAATAGATCAGCCCCACTGTCTCAGTGGGTGGGTGCACCCCTCGTGGTCCTGACATCCTTGCTCGTGTTCTCCCTCCATCTACTCCTCATTGGGACCTTGGGAGCTCAGTCCAGTGCTCCAGTGTGGGTCTCTGTCTCTATCTCCATCCATCACCCGATGAAGGTCTATGGTGATATGGAAGATATTCGTCAGTATTACTATAGGATAGGGTCATTTCAGGTTCCCTATTCTCAGCTTCCCAAGGGACTAACTGGGGACATCACCTTGGGCTCCTGGGAGCCACTCTAGGTTCAAGTCTCTTGCCAACACTAAGGTGGCTCCCTTAACTAAGATATGTGCTTCCCTGCTCCCCTATCCAACCTTCCTTTATCCCAATCTTCCTGTTTCCCCAAGTTCCCCCAATCCTCCCCTTCTCACTTTTCTCTTCCTGCCCCCCCTTAGACACACTAAAGTACTATGTTGCGGGAAAAAAAAAAAAAAAAAAAAAAAAAAAAACAATGACTTCTCGAATTTTGCATGCAAATGGATGGAAATAGAAAACACTATCCTGAGCGAGGTAACACAGACCCAAAAAGATGAACATGGGATGTACTCACTCATCATTGGTTTCTAGCCATAAATAAAGGTCACGGAGTGTATACCTGGTTAACCTAAAGAAGCTAAATAAGAAGGTGAACCCAAGGAAAAACATATAGTTATCCTCTTGGCTAAGGGAAGTAGATAAAATTGCCGGGGAGAAAATTGAGATTTGGGGGGTGAGGTGGGTTCGAGCTGTATTTTTTAAAGAGTGCTTATGCCCTATGCTAACAATCATGTCGTCATTGTTGTGTGTTTGTGGGTTTTCCTTTTGGTTTTGTTTTTTATTTGTTTTATTTTGCGTTATTAATCCCAAAGAAAATTCTAGGCATCATTTGTACCCATTGCTAAGGCCCAGTTCTTGCAAGTCTAATCTTAATGACCCAGGAGTCAGTATGGGCCCTCCACCCCCTATTGGGAGAAGCCCGAGTTAGTCTCAGTCTTTTTGTTTTATTAAATCACAGGCTTACAACTTTTCAAATGCTTTATAATCATGACCTGACATCTGACATCTTATTACTTGTTTACAGTTTTGGCTACCAGCATAAATTCAAGGACTTTTCTCATTGGACACCATTTCTTCCCCCACCCCCTTTTTCTGATTAACCCTTATCCCAAGACTACCTCCTCATTTTACATCTACTCAGATATTTTGAAGCTTGGTTTCTCTCTTCTCATGACAGTGAGCCCACCAGCTGTGCTTTCAGTAATCCCTACCAGAAGACAGATGTTCATCACAAGCATTGTCTGAATACCAGATATACCGTCTGTATTTACTTGGTTTTATATATATTTGAGTCATTTGATCTCCATTACTTCATCGTGACTGTAAGTGGGACTCTTTCTTCAGTGGACCAAACGTTCATGTAATAGAGACACATAAGTTAGTTAATTCAGTATTAGTGTAGAAATAGGACAGTGGCAACCAGTCCACGACTGAATTTTAGAAAACATTGACATGATAACACAGACAACTTCAATGGAACTTTCATCGTCATGGAGACCGAGAGTGAATAGAAAACAATCTTTGTGGGAGAGATAAAGACCTACAGTTTTCAGAGTACTTAGTATCACCGATTGTGTTTGCAAATTAACATTTTTATCGAGTCTCTCTATGTAGGCCAGGAATGTGCTGTATCTGGCTGATCTGGTGCTCCCAAGGTCCTTTCTGCCTCTGGATCCCGAATTCTGAGAATAAAGGAGTGTATCACTATATCTAGCTCTATTTGGTGTCTTAATGTTTTTCTTGACATACATACATTTGGTAGCAGATGGTATAAAGGTGACATTCATAATGAATTCTCAGAATAGAAGTGCAGCCTCACATTGAGTTGGTCAACAAATCATCAATTTTCCTCATCTAAGAGTTCCTACTATTGCTTTATAGCCACTACGCTCCTATCTACACAATAAATATCAGCACAGGAATTGATTACAGTCGATTATATCACAGATATGATATTTCAGAAAACAGTTGCCATACAACTATAAATTGAAATTAGGTTTTCTATGGTATAAATTGATATTTTTCTGAGATATTAAGAAAAGGAAACTACATTAGATTATACAAAGAAGTTGATGTTTTACTATGTACCTTAATTTTCCTTGCATTTTCAAAGATTTGTCCTGAGGTATGCAAGAGATACACTGTCATAATAGAAAAAAGTATTAGTTTTAATTTCTACAGTTCTAGCTCGAATATTTCATAGTGAAGGAGCAAATAAAATGTAGCTAAGCTTGAAATATATAGGTCAGTTTTAAATCACCCTTTTTTGATAATTTCCTTTAATTTTTATGTAAATGGTTAATGTTTTGTTTATTATATCTGCCTTCATTAAAATGACTTGTGGGAGGGTCTATTTTGAAAAAAAAAACGGTTAGAAAATCCTCAGAGGTAACAATAAAAAGGTTTATGTGAAACACTTTTAAGCTACTAGCTTGAGCTTGATTTCAAAAGCACTTCTGTTCAATGCATAGTGAGTGAATTTTCAAGCATACCTAATTCATGGGGCTTTGAGACTTCTAGATTAACAAGGAAATAAAAACTGTCATTTTAAAATTATTCTTAAACCTCAATTGCACTTGTTATCTTATAGCTGAAATATTTTAAATAATGTCTTCATATAAATATGCAAGATGTCACCAAAAAAATGCACCTCCTGACTAGCCTTCAGCAATGACTGTCTACACTGGAGTTTAATCCTCCTAAGATTTCCATTTCACATAATGGTTTCTCTTAAAGAAAAGAGGACACCTGGCAAACTAGCAACTCTCAATAAATATGGAAATGGATTTTAAAGTCTTCAAACAAAAACTTTATTGAGTTTTTTTTTTTTTATAATGAGACTGAGAAAAAAAAGTCACAGTATTCTCCTGCAATTTCTGAGTATTGATGAATGGCTGTGTATGTCTTTTTTTATTTACATGTTAACTTTGATAACATGCATTATTGGTTCAATTAAATGCCATAAACAGAACTAATTATTCTTCCTTTAACCAAAAAATGAAAAAAAGTCCAAATCGTTTCTAATAATAACTTTTTTTCTTTTTTTCCTTAGCATTTAGTGGAATCGGTTGTTGTCTGACCATAGGATTCCTCTGCCGGAGCAGGAAACCAGTGTGCCTGTTACAGAGCATATACCAGCACACTGCCTGTGTTCAAACACTATAAAGTGCTTATGTAATGAAATATCCTGTTCAACAAACCTGCACATGCAGACTTTTAGTTTCTTTTTCTTTTCACAGAATGAAAGGTGTATTCCTTAAATTTTCCATAGCAAATGAAGATACACTTAAATATAAGGACACCTGCAAAACATTCAGTCATATATAGGAATGAACATTGAATACAGAAATGAGGCATTTTTGAAAATTATATGTAATTAATCATGGTAATTCCCCAACATGGTCTATTCAAGCAATGTTTACCTTTGTTATTACTAAATTTTCTTTACAAAATTATCTGTGATATTTAGGGATTTGAGTTTCTACAGGACAGTTTTAAACCTGTTCAAATCCAGAGATATATATTGAATTTAGGAGTTTCATTTTCTGAATATTTTATTTGTTTGTTTGTTTGTTTAAGGATTAAAACAAGGTGAGCCAACCATGACGGGCAAAACACAGACCAGCAACGTAACCAATAAGAATGACCCCAAGTCCATCAACTCGAGGGTTTTCATCGGCAATTTAAATACAGCCATCGTCAAAAAAGTTGACATTGAAGCTATTTTCTCAAAGTACGGGAAAATTGTTGGCTGCTCCGTTCACAAAGGGTACGCCTTTGTCCAGTACATGAGTGAGCGCCATGCAAGAGCAGCAGTGGCTGGAGAAAATGCCAGGGTCATCGCGGGCCAGCCTCTTGGTAAGCTATGCTCTGTTGCAGATTTCCCTTTGGTCTAGCCACCATTGTTTGTGTGATACATTTGTTAGCAGTCAGCAGCTCCACAGCATTTATTCCTTTCTTACCTAGTTACTGTCTTAGAAATTTATCGTTCAAAATGTATCACTTTGCATGTTGCTGGTATTATCTCAACAAATATGTCAACTCGTAATAAAAGCTGTTTGTGATACTTACAACCGCTACCAATTCTGAGACAGGCAAATACAACATATGCATCCGACTTAGGTTTATTTGACTTGATATAGTGTGTAACTTCCACAAAACTGCTAAGTTTACTGACCTTGCGTATAGCATTTGTTATGAAAGGTTAATTCATTTTCTTTATTTACAATTTTTATTTGGGAGGAATGGTTAAAAAAAATAGTAAAATGAAATACATTTTCCAGACTAGAAAGGATCACACCTCACTTTTTCCTCAGTGGTTAGGGATGGTATATATTATGCAGCCCCTTTGCACCATAGATTCACTTTGTGCCTCAGGCTGGTGGGACAATACTGAATTCTTGCTAAGAAAAGACAATGCCTTGTGTGTTGGAATAAAAATAAGAAGAAAATATTAGTAATTATTGAAGAGATAAAAAGAACCAAATATATACTTTCTCATGTAAGAAAATACAATCAATCCAACAGTGTTTGTCACATTTATAATTCTTATATTCATATTTCAAACTGATTATATACTTTCTTCATTATTCAACATGTATCTGTAAATATAACTTCATTTTCTCTACATCCTGTCTATTTTGCAATTTCTCTAACTGTCCTTAGAATCCCCAGCTTTTTAATGTATGTAGCTTTTAAAATAAAAACTTCAATTCCTTCCTTTGACCTATATTTAAGTTGTAATCATTATCTCATATAAACTCATATAAATCCTCATCGTTGCTATAGACCTTTTTGTATAGTCTATGTATAGTCACTGTATACCAGCGGCCCAAGGAAAGGTTCTGCTTCCTGTAACTTTTCCACTCTGAGGGAATCTTTTTATTTATTTATTTATTAAAGATTTCTGCCTCCTCCCCACCACCACCTCCCATTTCCCTCCCCCTCCCTCGATCAAGTCCTCCTCCCTTGTCAGCCCAAAGAGCAATCAGGGTTCCCTGCCCTGTGAGAAGTCCAAGGACCACCCACCTCCATCCAGGTCTAGTGAGGGGAGCATCCAAACTGCCTAGGCTCCCACAAAGCTAGTACGTGCAGTAGGATCAAAAACCTATTGCCATTGTTCTTGAGTTCTCAGTAGTCGTCCTTGTCTGCTATGTTCAGCGAGTCCGGTTTTATCCCAGGATTTTTCAGACCCAGGCCAGCTGGCCTTGGTGAGTTCCCGATAGAACATCCCTATTGTCTCAGTGTGTGGGTGCACCCCTTGCGGTCCTGAGTTCCTTGCTCGTGCTCTCTCTCCATCTGCTCCTGATTTGGACCTTGAGATTTCTGTCCGGTGCTCCAATGTGGCCTCTGTCTCGGTCTTCTTTCATCGCCTAATGAAGGTTAATATTCAGGAGGATGCCTATATGTTTTTCTTTGGGTTCTTCTTATTTAGCTTCTCTGGGATCACGAATTATAGGCTCAATGTCCTTTATTTATGGCTAGAAACCAGTTATGAGTGAGTACATCCCATGTTCCTCTTTTTGGGTCTGGCTTACCTCACTCAGGATAGTGTTTTCTATTTCCATCCATTTGCCTGCAATCTTCAAGAAGTCCTTGTTTTTTACTGCTGAGTATAATATGTATATATTACATACTTTCTTCATCCATTCTTCCATTGAAGGGCATCTAGGTTGTTTCCAGGTTCTGGCTATTACAAATAATGCTGCTGTGAACATAGTAGAGCATATACTTTTGTTGTATGGTAGGGCATCTCTTGGGTATATTCCCAAGAGTGGTATTGCTGGGTCCAGGGGTAGGTTTTGTTTTCTTTTGTTTAAAAACATGAGTTACATCATCAACCTGTTTTTGATCCTCCAGGGAATTTGATACAGAAAACTTCATACTCTGTCATGTACCCTTTGAAACTCTATACTGCCACATCTTCAATCTTGTGTCCTGCCCTGTGCCTCCAGCATTGCTCTAATCTTGCCAGCATCCTTGACATACCTCCTGCTTGGAAGGAATGTGACCCTTTCTGAGGCTCTAAACTGTGGAGAACCCCCTGCTAGCTATTTGTTCCCTTGATTGTTGGAATCTTAACCTCCACAGTGAGACCTTTTAGCTTAGAATTGCTTGCCTTTACTACAAATCCTTGAATTCTGTGTAAGGCTTTTGTAACTATCATCACTTTCTAGATGAGATATGTTAGTGTATATGATATTGTCTTGTCATGTCTCAAACATAAAGCTGAAACAGTGTGTTAAAGGAACAAAAGTGCTGAATAAATGAGTGAGACAAGTGTGAAGAATAATATACTATCAAAGTTGATCAACTCAGGAGAATGTTTGGTGTGAGGAAAAGTGGGACCCAGCTATAAATGCTGATGTAGAAGAGGCTAAGGTTCACAGACAGAGAGGCTGCACTCACCTGGGCCGTACAGTGAGGACAAATTAGGAAGCCATGATATTCATTGAATTGTGAGTGAAGTCCGAAGGATGATTTTGAAAAAAAATAAAGTTTTTATGCACTATCTGATGTAAATCTCCAAAAATATATGTAAAATGCTGTCTGTCTGTCTGTCTATCTATCTATCTATCTATCTATCTATCTATCTATCTATCTATCTATCTTACTGCTCGTTTTCTCTACTGTAAAGAAAGATGCTAATTTTCAATAGTCTAGTTTGCTTCCCAGGTTCACAGTTGGTTTCCTTTATACACACACACACACACACACACACATATATATATATACATACATATATATCCCCATACTTACCTCGATGCAGGAGTTTTCTGGCTATTTGCTTCCTTAAAAGTATTGTAACTAGAAATGTAACAGGAAATTCTTCTTCCTCAGCCACATTTAGGTAATTCAGGGTCAATCTATCTCCTGTGTCTTTGTTACTGTAATACTAACATGACATTTTCGAAATGCATTTTGTTACTACTTTTTATAAAAATAATGATGACTATGAAGTCAATTCTAACTCCGATTCTCTTTCAACTGGAATTTAGCTAATTCTCTGGAGTCCTATATTCTGTCACCAATCAGCTGATCACTCAGGAATATAACTCTAACCTTGGTGTTTAAACTTCAGAACATGAGGAGATAGAAAGTCAATCTCAGATTCCTGTGCATTGAGAAGCAGAGTTATGCTGCCTGTAATGGGATTGCTTCTCATTCTCAGCCACACATGTGTCTCTCTCCGTGGGATAATCTCCAGAGCAGAAGCCTTAATAAGACATCATATCCAAATCGTTATTCAGTTAGGCGGAACCTAGTTTATGAACTTCTTTTGCCTAACAGGAAAGGCTTTTATATTAAAAGAGGTGCCTTGCAATTTAAATAATAACTTTGCTTTTCAGGTCACCTCCCCTTTTTTAATTCTGCTGATAAAAATACAGACAAAGGCAAGACATTTAGTTGCTCCTTGCTGGATGGAGTCAATTCTGTAGTAATATAGGATTAATGCCTGACTTTCCAAGCAACATACCTACTTTCATCTTAGAGTTCCATCCATATCTTTTGTTGACTTGGGCAAAGCATGACTTCAAGTAAATTTATTACTTATTTGCTGATTTTTGTCTAATTTCAAATCAAAGGTTTATAAAAAAATTTAGATTGGTGTCTGATATCTAGTACATTTATCATGGACATAATGACAGGTACTTAAAATGTAAAACACATAATGTATACACATTTGCCTTTCTCTTTAGAGTAGGAAAGCATCATATGAATTAATCCTAAGTTATTAGTTCACCCATGTTAAAACTTTTCATTTTAATAATGAATAATCATGTACCATCTTTTTTAGAATAATATTTTCAAATGCTCTATGCATTTTTAAAATCTAAAATAGAATTAAGAAGTTGGTTAAACAGTAAAAATACAACATCATAATACAAGTCCTTTGCTTTTTTTGAAATTATAGATATGTGCTTAAAATGAGACTATTTTATGATTAATGACAAATATTATCATTGGTCATTTTGGTGCTGCAAGTACAAAACTATGAATTGAAAAGTTTAAGCTTGGGAGAACAAACTGAAATGTCAGTAAGAGAAAAGGTCAGGGAACAGACTGGTGGGTGGATTAGTTGTGAAAAAAAAGTACTTGGAAGTCTGTTTTATGAAGATGCAAGTGGGAAAAGAGGTAATCATGCTAAAATTTAAAAAAAAAGTAAACTGATATCTGTTAATATAGATAAAAAAGAATCAAGAATAAGTCCCACATTTCTGGGCTGATTCTCTGTTGACAATCTAGCTAGTCAGTAAATTGAGAGAGAAATTTTCAGAAGAGAAAAAGTTTTGGTCTAAAATTATGAGTCCATGACTGAGCATTTTTTGTTATGGATAATTCATATGTTGAAAGACACATGGGCCTATGTATTACTAAAATTTCACAAATATAGGCCCCCAAAAGTGAGAGATTTAAACAAGGGTTAGTAATTTTGCATCATTGACACGAATTATGTAAAACTTATAGGAATGAATAAATAAATTCACCGTGTGGTGTCAATGGAATGCTAAGTGAGTGTTGGGTTTGTTGGAGAAGGTAGGGAAATCTTTAGTTTTTTAGAAATTTCCTAATTAACACCCAGCAGAGATTAGATCCCCATAAATTTGTTTTCTGGATTTGTATGCATGTACTTTCTGAAATGTTTCCCTGAGGTTTCCCTAGTCCTACAGCCGACAGATTCACTGTACTTCTTTCCTCCTACAAATTGTTGCCAGTCTGTACACTAATGAATCATCTTAGTCCTTTATACTGTGCTCCTTTCTGAGCTGGAAAGCCTTTTGATCCAATCCTCTGCTTACACCTACAAGGCTTCTCTAACCCAACCCCCCACCAATGTCCTGGCCAAGAAAGGCTTT